GCTGGCACGTGATCTCTGGAAATGTCCTGGGTGTTTTCCTCAGAAGAGTTTGCCACAGCCAACACATACAAACCTTGATGACAACACCTAATGCTGACACGGTTCCAGTTTCTTCAGTGAAAAGACTCAGCACGTTCCCATTTCCCAGGGTTGATGGGTGCCATTGTGCAGCCAAGCACTGAGATGGATTTGTTGCATTAGAAGTATAGAATTTGTGCTTGGTCACTAAACCTAATAAACTTCACAGATGAAGGGGTAATCTGATTTAGAGAATATGAGAGATTTCTGTTTGGAAGGCAGGTTTGTCTCTGCTCAGTTTTTTAAGATAATGCCCCCGTTGGTCAGGAGGGCCCCTATGCATAGGTGGGATAACAGAGTCTGCTGTGGTGTATTGTTTTTTTCATGTCTCTGCTGGGCATCAGAACTTCCAGGAGAGGGAAAATAATTTGAATCAAGCTTTCAGAAGTGGTGACTTGTTTAGGAAAAGTTAAGAGTGTTTAACTTTGCATGTACCTGCATTTAGTAAATAAGATGGCAGACCTTGATTATAGTGAGAACATTAGCCACTAACTTTTTAAAGAGATAATTGGTCTACCCCTGAAGCATATTATCTGTCGAGTGATCTGTTTCTTCACCCAGATTCTGCACAACAGAGTATTTTTCTTTACCTAACAGTAAATAAAAAAAAATTACATATCTGTAACTGACTCTGTCAAGATCACATTAATCATTATTAAACAGTAAATTAGTAAATGTCCAGTCAGGAAATACCATTTGGCTTAGACACATTTCCTTCTTTTTTTCTTTTAACAACAGTTTATTGTCTTCTTTTTAAAATAGAAAAATGTGGACATTTTAGTATGAATAGCCACAGATAGCCCCACCTTGGGAAGAGAAAGCAAGATAAGCAGTAAGTCTAATTTATCTTCCCTGCTTCATACTAAATTTTGATCACTGAGGCTTAGCACTTGACCTTGGTTTGAATTCTGGTTCATTGTCTCTGCATCACACTCATGTAGCTGGCATGGGGTGAATGGTCTGCAGGCACAGAGAGCTCTGAAGCACCAGCGAATTAGAATTACAGACTTTAGAAATGTTTGGCAAATTTCAATACATTTTGGTAGATTGGCAAGGTATTTCCAAATATCGTGTCCCTTTGTGGGCTTGCAAAGCACATGGCTTGCAAAGTAATTTGATTGCCCTTCCCTTCCTAGTAGCCAACCAACTTGTATGCACACACATAGCTCAGAACTATAGAGATACTCCTGTACAGAAATACTCCTGTATGTGCTGCTTTTGCCCAGAGAGGAGAATATTGCTGGAGGGAATAAAGAAGAGAGATGGTGTAAATGGCAGATGGAAGCTCAGAGGCAGGAGAAGGGCAGAGGCTGGGGGATCTGGGGGGGGAACCGGGCTGCAACAGCCAGAGAGGAGGTGCAGGGGCTGTGGGCAATGGGGAGTGGTTGTAAGGGAAACAGATGGGAAGAGAGGCAGATGGGGGATTAGGACACAAATACATAGTAATCCAACCTTCTTTAAATCCAATGGTCATGGAAAGATGTGGTTTGCTTCCAGTCGCTGTTAGAGATTGGACTGGATGATCTCAAGAAGTCCCTTACAATTTTTTTTTTTTTTTTTTTTAGCATCAGCCCTCCAAGTTGCAACTGTTTCACTTTACATGAGTGTATATGATCAAAGAGTTTTCCTAACTACTTAATGGTTATTGTAGTAGAAAAATGTAGACAAAATCAGATCCCAGCACATGGGAACCCAACAGAGAGGTAATTTATTTATGGTATCATACATAAAATATGCTACAAATAGGACTGGAATTTTTGAAATCAGTATTTTTCTAATTTAAATCTTACACTGATATAAGCATATAAGATTCTGCAGCTTCTAGAGAAAAATTCACCTATAAGAATTGAGGACCAAATGCTCCATACTAATTTAAAAAACAAACAAACAAACAAAACCCAACAAACAAACCACAGAGAAGAACCCTATTAAAAGAACTGTCAGGAAAAAAATCATTTAAGAGTGGATGGTAAATTCATACATCAGATCAAGAAGCACGTAAGAAATACACGGCTGCTAGAGCAGGGCTTTGAATTAACTTTAGTAGGTGGAGCCAGGAAGCAGCAATGAGGATAAAACAAACCATGTGTCCTGGAATAATTAGATAATTCTCTGACACAGCCCACACAGTTTTGGCTGGTTCAGGTCTGTTTCATGGCCGGTTCCCTGTGTTCCGACGTGGCCCTCCATCCATTTCCCTCACTCCGGACTAAGTTCCCCTGCAACCACAAGCAGATGTTCTCCAGACTACAATTCAGAACAGAGAAAACGAGCTGTATCGGAAGGTTCAAATAGCTCGTGGGGTCATACGGCATCTTCCCAGGGCTGGTGGTGCTTTGGAGACCCTTTAAGAGCAGGCAAATGAGCACGATGTAGAAAGGAGACATAATTTTATGGATCTAAATGTACCACAGCCTGTGCTCTTAAAATATCTCAGCATATCCATGGGGAAAAAGACAGGGGGAACAGCACATTTATGTGATTATTTCTCTACATGTTGTACTCTGAAAAATGTACATCTGTCATTTGAGATGATTTATTGTGGTCTTCACTTAGAGCTATTGTCAGTCAACAAGAGCTATTTTGCTAATGTACAACTGTATCAAATCAAAGCCTTTGCAGAGCTGCCATTTTACCCAGATTATTTTTAGTGCAGGTGTTTCACTTTCACAGAAGGAAACAGCAATATATTGTGATCAAATAGGACCTGAAAGTCCAGAGTGCCAACACCAGCTCTTCATCAGGTGCTAGCTGACTCATTGGCTTTTAATGTGTAAAATGAGTAACTAACAATTATTAAGGTAGTAGTTGATAAGTCTGTCACTGAAGTTAGCAGGAGCGGACAAATGCTCTCCTAATGAATACTGATGCTGACTCCGGATCCGGTTAGTTAATACTACTAAAGCATTAGGAAATATGAATAAAACGTGTGGGGACTGTTATGATTTATTAACATCAGTATTTTGTGCCTTCTCTTCTTTCTGTGGATGGAACCACTGCCGACCTACAGGTTCCTCTGCCTGCAGCCCCGCTCCGTCGCGCCCGGACCCGCCGCCAGCACCCATCCCAGGCGCTCTCAGCGCTTCAGACCCCAGCGGGAAGGGGCAGCGCCACAGAGGGGCTGGCGAGCAGCTCCCCCG